CGGCCCGTAGCCCATTTGGCCCGAGGCCCGAAAGCCCGAAGTTTAATGAGCCTACATTTTTAAGGCCCATGTCCTTATAATTTTCGGGCGGGCTCGGGCCGGGTTTCGGGCTCTGGACTTAATTGACATCCCTACCTATGGCCAGGTCCGGCGAACTGAGGTCCATGGAAACTGTTAGGCGCGGGTGGTGGCCAGTTCGTCTCCATTTGTAAGGGTAGGTAGTCACGGAAGTTTCCCAATATATCAAAAAAAAATATCCATTTATATGGTAAAAATATTTGAAGTTATACTGAAATATACTTAAATTGGACCAATCGTAATATATATAGTTTATATATAATTGAGGTCTTTTTACCTGTCCATTTTACCCTTCATGGATTTTTTTTTTTTGCCAAAAGATTATTTACATATAATCTCGCCATTATGTGTACTATATATATATATAGTAATGGAAATTAGAAGCGGTTTTGTAACATCCGAGGACACTTGTTCGCATTCCGTGAGCAAATCTGTCTTATCTTATTCACAAAAGAAATCCTACTTACTATAATCTCAACACACACACATACACAAATAAAGTAAAAATGATAATTTTGTGAATGAAATTGTTAAATTCCTTTAAAATGTCGTTAGTTTCGGTTTTTAGATATACGTGATCAGAGTTTAGTAAGATATTTTTAAAATGTTTCAGATAAATTTCGGAAAATGCTTCAGCTATTTCACATTAAATATTTTAAAAATATTAAATGGTCTGACTACCTTATTTAAATTGAATATTCCACATTTTGCTAATGATTGATGTAACATTTAAAGTTGCAGAGTAAGTAGGATATCTTGCTGCAATTTTGTAACATTAAAAATAATTTGGATGGACGAACAATTTAAAACGAATTTTGAATGAACAAAAATGTTATTTTTTTAATACAAGAATATAACGTCCATACAATACATTAACAACATTTTTTTTACGTTAGTGCCGAATTTCAATTAATATTTTTGGATTGCCACGTGTACGATTAAGATTGTTCCGGTCAGTCGGAGAGTGTGGGTCCCACACGAATCCGACGTGGCAAAAGGAAGAGTTTGGTTTTGATCCCAAGTATCCGATCTCAGGAAGAGGTGGTTATTTGTTGTACGATGTGGCAGACACGTCAGAACCTTTTTTAACTAACAGCTAATCATACGGTGACATGTCAGATCAATGACAACCGTTCCCGTTTATTTTAAATACCGTTTTTATTAAATTGCTATTTAAGGGGATTTAAAATAATTTTTATCAAAATTTTCAGAAACGTTCGATTTACCAAAATATGGATCTATCAATATAAAGTTAACCCCCTTAAATCTAACTAATTGACTAACAAATAAAACAAGTAATTAAATAACATTTACATGTTCAGATTGTACTGTTTTAATGGCCATTTAAATAAAGCGGTGCGTTTGACTGCATTAGCGTTTGAAACTCAAACGCCACGTTTCCACAAAAGAAAATGTTTGCCTACACGTAGGTAGTGTGATTCGAGAGCTTTTTTTCACTTTCCCGAATGAATAAATTTTTTTAATCCTTATTTCAACCAATAGGAAGCTGACACGTGAAAGAAACAATCCTCTACGCGCTGCACCGTAGCGTTCCCCGTGATGCTGACATGTACCAATTGGAAAGCATCTTTTAACATTTTCATTGAATTGACTCTTTTAGTCCCATAATTATAAATCGAATTGATATTGATACTTGACAGATAGAATCCCCAACCCTCCAAAATCCCAGAAAATAAAAATTGCCTAACTAAAATTAAATCGTCCGAATTCTGTTTTTCTCTAATGAAATCGAATAATAAAAGTTTAGAATCCAAATCTTGCAACGATTATTATTATTCCGAACGTGAAATTATTATATGCTACAGAATCAAAGGCGAATTATATGCGAATAAATGACCCGACCCGATGATATACTTTTGTCGGGTCGAGAGGGAAAGGGAAAGGGGAAAATATCAGAGGCCACATAAACTTGTGGCTGAGAATCAAGCGGTGATGCTGACGTGGCAATCACCTTCTTTTAAACGGATCAAAATCCCGAACCCAACGATTCCAAACCCAAACTCACCCCACCCGCCCCAAACCCAACAAAAAAAAAATCCCAAACCCCTCTCAAAAAAAAAAAAAGGCAGGGGACTTGCGGGAATTTTGTCGAAGCTGTTTGGTAGCCGAGAAAAAAGAGGAAAGAAGAAGGAAATGATGGTGGTAAGTAAAGATCCGGGGATCAAGCTCTTCGGGATGGAGATCCCGTTCCCGGCGGCGGAGGAGAAGGGGAAGCGCGGCGGAGACGGCGAAGATGAGAAATCGGCGGAGGAGGTACTTAATTCTGCTGCTCTCATTAGATTCGTAAAGGGTTTTTTTAATTTTTTTTTGTTGAAATCGAATCTGAGAGATGAGAAACAGTAACTAGAAAAAATCGATTCTCTTTGGGGATTTCGACTGCGACCCGTTTGAATAAACTGCGAAATCGTTAATGGGTTGTTGCTTTTGTTCATAAATTCTGATCGAATCTAATTTTTTCTTTTCCTGATTTTCGGAAAATGAAATGCTTGCTTGGACTGGTTTCTTCTTCTGCTTATTGGAGGAGTTGCTTAAAAGTTTCAATTTTTTTTTTTGTCCTTTTAATTATTCTCTTTTTTTTTATAAAAATATTTTCATTTTCTGTTTCCGCCACTTCAAAAGCGCAAAAGTGATGAACCGGGAAAACTGCAGATGTTTCAGAGACATCTGTACTTTCTCTGACCGGCATTAAGTTTGTGTCACTGAAGATCTCTGTCTCGAATCTTTTTTTTTTTTTTTTTTACCATTTTAGTGTTCTTTTTTTTTTTCTGGATTCGAGTGATCTTTTGAGCTGCAGTACACTCTCAAACGAATCTAAGCAAATTTCTTACCGTGTCTGTGATTGGTCTATCGTTAATAAGAAGAAAAAAACATTTTTTAGAAGAAAAAAACATTTTTTTAGAAAAAAACCTTATTTTTAGATAGAAAAAAAAACATTTTTTAGAAAAAAAAACATATTTTTGGAAAAAATTAGCAGCCATGGCAGCAGCAGTGTGTTCGTGAAGCAAGTTCTCTCTGTATATTTCTTCCCCAGATTTCTATTTTTTCACCACTTGTCTGATTCTTTCTAACATTAAATAATTTAATAATATTAAATAAAAAGGAATCTTCAAGTTTCTCCAGAACCTTCTTCAGACTATGGTTTAGAAAAATCTACAGAAAACGTAAATCAATTTCATTTCTAGAAAAAAAAAATCATATTCAATGGTTAATTCTTGAATCAGGGAACTACAACGGACGAGTCCACAGAATCTTCAGAGCAAGAATCTCCGGAGAAGAAGAAGAAGAAGAACGACGAGGAGGAGGAGGATCATCAAAACAGTTGGCAAGATTCCAAATCGAAAGCCGGAGATGAAGATGAGAATTCAAAGGATCATCAGGGCGAGAGCATCGACTCGCATGATCATCAGGATAGCTCGAAAACTTTGAAGAAGCCAACCAAGATTCTGCCATGTCCGAGATGCAACAGCATGGACACCAAGTTCTGCTACTACAACAACTACAACATCAACCAGCCTCGCCATTTCTGCAAGGCTTGTCAGAGGTACTGGACCGCCGGCGGGACCATGAGGAACGTTCCGGTCGGGGCCGGGAGACGCAAGAACAAGAACTCCTCTCCTCATTACCGCCACATCACCATCTCCGAGGCTCTTCAGGCCGCAAGAATCGATTCCGCTCATCATCATCCTGGTCTGAAAACCAACGGTCGAGTTCTGAGTTTTGGACTGGAATCTCAACAACAAGCTCCCATCTGTGAATCCATGGCGTCTGTGTTGAAGCTCGGTGACCAGAAGATTCCGAATGGGGCAAGAAACGATTGTCCTAACGGTTATTTAACAGACGAATCAAGAGCTCGGAAGAACAGCGGATTCCCTGAAGTTAACATGGCGAAGAACAGTAACATGAATGGTTTTGCTTGCGTCCCAAGCATTCCATGGCCTTACACGTGGAATCCATCGATTCCTCCACCGGGTTTTTTCCCGCCTCCTGGTTTTGCAATGCCGTTTTACCCTTACTGGAGCATTCCAATGCTGTCTCCTCAATCATCATCGTCATCCAGCCAAAAGGGTTCAAGCTCGTCTGGTCAGAACTCTCCCACGCTCGGCAAACATTCAAGAGATAGAACAGACAATACAGCCGACACGACCGGACGGAGAAACGGATCTGTCTTTGTTCCAAAAACGTTGAGAATCGATGATCCAGATGAAGCGGCGAAGAGCTCAATCTGGAAAACACTGGGAATCAGGAACGAAGTGATGAGCAAAGGAGTGTTCAAAGGGTTTGATCAGAAGGGGAAGAAGACGAAGAACAACGAAGAAACAGGTGAAATCTCTCCTGTCCTGCTCGCAAATCCCGCGGCTCTCTCGAGATCGATCGATTTCCATGAGAGGGTGTGACCCTTTTTCTTCCTGGATTCTAATCTCATGGATTTTTCTGAATCTGATCAGATCAGTTTTTTTTCCGATGATTTACGAATTTTTGTTTCCCACTTCTAGTTCCTTTGGTGAGTCTGCTTTGTGTTTGTATACATGTATACATCACCATATAGCTGTATATATATATATATATATATATATATGTGTGTGTATAGGTTTGGGAGATAGGTGAAGCTAGGGTTGGATAAAGCTCTGTCTTTTTTCTTCTTGCTCGTGCCTTTCAGCCTTTGTTTATAGCTTTTGTATTATATACGCTGAATTTGAGTTTTCTTTTTTTTTTTCTCTTTACTTTTTTTACTGGTTTTACATGTAACATGTTGTAAAAATAAATAATGACAAAAGGTTCGTTCTTAGCCGTTGATTTATGTGTCGGGTCGATTTGGAACTGAACTAAGTTTAAGAGCATTAGCATTAATTAGTAATATTTCATGTTAATCGCATATAAATACCTGAACTTTTACAAAATTACCAAATAAATATTTGAACTATAAAACTCCCAAATCAATGCATGAATTTTTCAAAACTTCCATATAAATATCCAAATTTTTAAAAAACTTCCAAATACAATAATTTTTGTTGACGGCGTTAATCGACGAAGTGATGAGATTCCGTTATAAATCAAACGGCGTTTATGAAATTTGGTTGTATTTGGAAGTTTTTTAAAAATTAGGGTATTTTTATAGAAATTTTAAAAAATTCAGGTATTGATTTGAGAGTTTTATAGTTTAGGTATTTATTTCAAAATTTTGTAAAAGTTCAAGTATTTATATGAAATTATCCTTAATATTTTCCATTAACAACGACATTTGGCTTGACGTAAAAATATTTTGACGTCTTTAAGTGATAAATCCATTTGGGATTTTTCTTTTCAATAATGAGATGTATCATATATCTTAGATTTACAAAAAAAAAATCTAAATACTTTTTACGTTCTTCAATTTGTTTTAGTCGCTAATCATGATTTAATCCGTGTGAGATAATAGAGTGAGTGAACATGTAAAATATAATATAATGTATAAGCTTGGTGGGTGGGCACATGAAAAAAAGTGAGAGGGACTGACAAATCTTTTCCCTTTTTTTTTATAGAAAGAATAAAATGACAGATAATTTATTTATTTGTATTATCCTTTTGTCTCCTATGCTGCAATCTCTTGATGAAACCAAATATTTGATATAATTTGAGAATTTTTTATGCAAACTTTTTAAATATTTATATGCATATAAATGTATTTGTGATCTTATGTAGTGCTGGCCAAAATTATGATAGGTTAATCAACGTTTACTGTCAATAATTTTCTGATCATTCTTAATACCAAACCACATATGATGATAAACTAACCGAAAATTCATTTAAGATGCTGCTTGAAAATGACAATCGAGAATCGTAATATTATATATGATAAATTTTTACACGCAAAAAAAAACCCATTTCCTTGATTATTTCAATAACATTTTTTCTTTTTTCTGGGTAAATTCAATAACATGTTTTCTTGATATTTCTCTTATTAATTTAGTCTATGATCAGATTTATTCTCACATTTAATTTTTTTATATTTAATAAATTCCAACGATGAAATTGTGAGGATGAAGTGCTCTATAGAACATTTAACATTAATTCGATTAATTAATTTGGTTGATCGTGAATACAAAATTGAGAGACCCTTGTAATACATAATATTTATACTGCCTCATCAATTTGAATTCAATGGCACAATATTTTTAGATTTATTTATGTTGTGTAAGTATATTGTATATCATATATTATATCGATAGGGTTCACGCGAAAACAAAATGAATGTAATCTCGATTTTATATGTTTTCTAAATTGAATAATATGTTGGCTAACAATCACCAAAACAGAAGATCTACGAGGTTAACTTTTTATTCTATACTTTTAAATTTACACGACAAAAAAAATATAATTTACGTTTAATTGATTTACATTGTAAATACCTAGAAAATCATAGAAATAAAATATTAATAATAATTTGTAAAAAAAATATATTAAAATTATCGATGAAGAATTGAACATTCCCACCCACGTCGAGACAATCGGAATTTATTAAGTTGAAAAGTGCCGTGTCGGAAAACAATTTAGATATTTTGGACTGACCAAGCGAATACTAACCACATATTTTCCCTTATTCGTTATTGCATATAATTTTTTTTTTAAAAAAACGTGACAAGTTGCCTTTTCCCCTTTTTAATTTAGCAAAACTTGTTTCCTTTTGACACAAACCGAGTTGAAGAATTCTGATAAAGTGGCTTACCTTTCATTAAACATAAACACAAAGTTATATACAGCATTAGAGAAACTAACCCTAGTTAGAAATTAGAAAAATACAATCGCGTATAATAACTACTTCCTAATACAGGATATACAATATATATTCTCATTATCTCCTTCAAGTTGGAGCATATATATCATGTATGTCCAATTTGGCTAAAAACGTGTCGAATTCTTTCTTATTGAGCGTTTTGGTAAAGATATCAGCCAGTTGTAGGTGAGTCGGGATATGTCGTATGATGATACGGCGTGCAAAGATGTGATGACGGAGGAAATGACAATCAATCTCGATGTGTTTAGTCCTTTCGTGGAAGACATCATTAGCTGCGATTTGAATGGCGGATTTGCTATCGCAATGAAGCGCCATCGGGGCAGCATGATTAACTCCTAGCGTTTCGAGCAGTCCCTTTAGCCACAGGAGTTCCGAACATGCGACGGCGATAGCGCGGTATTCTGCCTCGGCGGAAGAACGGAAAACGGTATGTGGTTTCTTCGACTTCCACGAAATCGGAGATTGACCAAGATGAATGAGCCAGCCCGAAAGAGACTTGCAGGAGGTTGGGCAACCAGCCCAGTCAGAGTCGCACCACCTATATAATCGGAGGTCGGAGTCAGTCCGCAACAAAATACCTTGGCCAGATCGTTGTTTGAGATACCGCACGACGCGAAGAGCAGCTTCCCAATGTGCAAGTTTCGGCTCTTGCATGAACTGAGATAGGATGTGAACCGCGTAAGTAATATCCGGTCGTGTCACGAGCAAGTAGATGAGGCGGCCGACTAGTCGGCGGCATGATTCTGGATCGGCGAGCGGCTCGGAAGTGGAGAGTTCAAGACGATGATTTTGTTACAGCGGGAAAGATGCTGGCTTTGCACCCAAAAGATCTGTTTCCGTGAGAATGTCAAGAGTATATTTTCTTGATATAATAAAATCCCCGACGGTCCACGAGTAACCTCGATTCCCAAAAAATACTTAAGATGACCGAGATCCTTCATGTAGAAACATGTGCTGAGATACTTCTTGAACAAAGTGACGGAGGTGCAAGAGTTTTCGGTGACGAGGAGATCATCGACATAGATTAAAACATGAAGTCGAACGCCCGCTTTGTTGAATACAAATAGTGAATGGTCCGATTGTGACTGAACAAAGCCGTAGTTACGTAAAGCTGAACCAAACTTGGCAAAGCAGCAGCGCAGTGCTTGTTTAAGACCGTATAAAGACTTTCGGAGGTGACAAACAAGATGGGAGGATGGCGTTGTAAGACCCGGCGGTGGTTTCATGAAAACCTCATCATGAAGATCACCGTGTAGAAATGCATTATGAATATCCATTTGATGAACATCCCATGAGCGTGCCGCAGCAACCGCAAGAAAAATCCTTATCGTAACCATTTTGGCTACTGAGGCAAATGTCTTGTCGTAATCGATGACTTCCTTCTGATTATTCCCGAGTATAACCAACCGTGCTTTCCATCGTTCAATGGAACCATCGGACTTATATTTTATACGAAAAATCCATTTGCACCCTATGGCTTTCTTTGTCGGTGGTAACGGTTCCAAAGTCCATGTATGATTCTTCTCGAGTGTAGACAATTCGTCGTTCATTGCGTCGCACCAACAAGGATCCTGAGCAGTCTCGTGGTACGTACGAGGTTCCGTCTCAGTACCAACTGCGGTCAGGAAAGCCATATGCGGAGGAGAAATTTTAGCATAGGAGAGGTACTCGTCGAGAGGGCAGAGAGTACCTTTGTCTGAGGAGCCAGCAATGCCGCAGTTCGAAAACTGCATGTGATTGGTGACAAAATCTCGAAGCTGGACATTCTGAAACTTGCGGCGTAGGCCTCTCCCAAGGATCGGTTGGTCAGGTGCCGTCGGAGCTTCATCAAGACGTGTTATGTTGTCTTCGAAATGTGGAGGGCTGTCGGGAGAAGTAACGGACTGTTCAGCTTGGCGCACATCATGATAACCCGACGCAACAGGGGAGGCCGATGTAGCCGCGGTTGGAGTAACGACGGTTGGTGGCGCTGACACAGAGAGCTCCGGTGCCCGATGCACAACTGGGTTTGCAGGAAAATCCTCGTCGCTGCCGTAAAATAACAGAAGGGAAGATGTCGGTGCAGAAGGAGGAGATGACAAAGATGTTCCGACGTCAGGGTGAAAGGGAAATGTGCTTTCGCAGAAAATAACTAAACATACTCGGGACGTTAGTGGATTTAAACACAAGAACACCCTTTGCGTTAGAGAATAACCAACAAACACACACGGTGAGGATCGAGGATCGAGTTTATGTTGTGAGTACGGACGCAACCAAGGGAAGCAAAGGCAACCGAAGGTGCGGAGCTTGGTATAATTCGGCGAGGAGTTGATAAGGGGATTTGTGGTCAAGTGTTTTGGTCGGGAGCCGATTAATTAAATAAACGGCTGTAGCGAAAGAAAAGGACCAATATGTGAGCGGCATGGAGGCTTTGGAGAGAAGAGCTAAATCGATTTCCATGATATGCCGATGCTTTCTCTCCGAGATTCCATTATGCTCGGGTGTATGAGGGGGAGTCGTGAGATGTGTAATACCATGAGACGAAAGGAACAACCGGAGGGCAATGTACTCTCCGCCGTTGTCAGAATAAAGTGCTTGGATTTTTGTAGAAAAATGGTTTTCTATAAGGGCTTTAAATCGAGGGAAGATGTCTAGGACTTGAGACTTTCGGTTTAAAGGGTAGAACCGTGTATAACGTGTATAGTGGTCTACGAAAATGACATAGTATTTTAGGCCATCAAAGGATGTAACGGGGGAAGTCCATACATCCGAGAAAACAATTTCGAGGGGTCGAGTCGAGTGAATTGTTGAAGTAGAGAAAGGCAACTTATGACTCTTATTGATGGAACATGGTTCACATAACAAAGACTTAGAAGATGAAGACAACAAGGGAAGAGAAAATTCTTGAATGACACGATGGAGAACATCGGAAGACGGATGCCCTAACCGAGAATGCCAATCAAGGAGAGT